GTTTCGACTTCGAGATGCAAATCTTCATAGAATCGACCAAATACAACTATTTTTCGTCTCAAATCATGACGGAATCGAGTCGTGGATGGTCGATTTGGTATGGAAGCATATGGAATCGTCTTATAATCGGCGGATTCATGTGGATTCACATCTCGGCTTCGGAGAATTTGGTTGAGAATCGGCCAAATCCGCCTCGATCTTCATGCATGGTAAGATCCTGAACAATTTTATACTTGTTGTTCTGATTGATTACGGAAATTGTTGAAACATAATCGATTTGTGTGTTTTTTTTTATGGAAATTGATGTAACAAAATCGATTTGGGGTTTTGATCGAATTTGTGAATTGATGTACTCCAGTTTAGGGTTTAGAGAATCTTCTGAGAAGCATTATGCAGGATAACAAAATCGAACTGTACGCTACTTACGTGAGTTTGCTCTCTAACTTTCGATTTTGCTACATTGAGGTTTTGATTCGATGTTTGAATTGGGTTTTATACTAGAATTCTCGAACAATTCGCCACTGAATCGAATTTAGTTCTGAAATTTCATGCTCTATGTATTAGGAGATGATTTGTTGAAGGCTATTGTTAATCTTGAGATTAAGTTTTGGAATTTGCTCAATTTGTGATGGTTAGGGAAAAGTGATGAACTGTGGAGGTGGAGGAAGCTGTGAAACTTGCATTGTCGAGGCAAGTTGACTTCATATCATATCTCTTTATTATGATTCTGAATTTATGATTTATGATAATCTTAGAATAGAATTCATGGATACTAATGGAGGAAAAGAGAAACAAACTGTGTGTTTGGGTATGTGTAACAATGTGATGCCGTTTTTGAAAAGAAAAGCATGTTTGGTGATGCAAGAAATATGATGCCTAAATTTAAGTTATCTGTTTCTTTTGTTTCTATGATTCTTGCGTATGACTGGTTTCTGCAAGTCTAAGGTAAATTTTTTTCATCTTTTTAGCTAAAGACCAATCCCTGCATATGAATAATCTTAAAGCTGATGATATTGATGTTGGCTTTGCATAAAGGTGTTTGTTTATGAGCTTCAGAGATTGTGGATTTAAATAAGTATGGAAAGCTTCTTAGTATGATGGTGTTACACGCATACTAATGTAGATTTTAATGTTTCTCTCGGTTTTGTAGATACCAGTTGAGGTCATGGCTGCCTTGGAGCCTATCAAGGATAATGAAAAAGCTGTGAAAGCGTATGGTATTCACCTTGGAACAGAAATGTGTAAAAAGATTTTGGCTCATGGAATCAAGTCTCTTCATCTCTACACATTGAACATGGAGAAATCCGCTCTTGCAATATTGATGGTTGGTCCTCATTTTCTACTACTGAAGTTTACGTAAATCAATCACATGAATACTGGAGTATCCTAACTATTCTCGTTGGTGTTGCAGAATCTTGGTATGATTGATGAGTCCAAAATTTCTCGCTCTTTACCATGGAGACGTCGTGCAAATGTTTTCCGTACTAAGGAAGATGTCCGTCCCATTTTCTGGTAACCGCACTTAGTTTCACTTGTTCTGATTATGCATAGTCGCAGATCTTAATCCCCTGCAGAGTATATAAGACTTGTGCTTTCTTCTAATCTTTTGAAGGGCAGACCGTCCAAAGAGCTACATTTCTAGAACCAAGGGATGGGAAGACTTCCCACAAGGCCGGTGGGGTGATTCACGCAGTGCTTCATATGGTGCACTCTCGGATCATCAGCAACTGCATCATCTGTAATTGTAGAACTCTCTTTCAGAGTTTCATAGCATATGGATTTTGATGGAAGCTATGTTTTCATGTCATCTATGTTTTGTTAATGATTTGAAAATCTATGGTTTAAATGTATTTATGTAACCTATGTTTCTATCTAAAATAAAATTTATTTCAAAATTTTAAATTTTTTAATTTTTTAAATTTTTTAAATTTGTTAATTTTGTTAAGAACACAAAACATGATTCCACCATTGAAAATTAAGAACACAAAATTGGCTCTTAACCAATCATAATCCTAAACTAATAATAAAATATGTCTTAAGAACACAAAACATGTATTTAGCATTGCACATGCTCTTGCCCAGATGCACGGAGAGAACAACTATTT